ACAAATGCCTTGGACGAAGAATTGTCCCTATAGGGAGCTGTGTAGTCCGGGGAGGACAGACCTCCTAACCTGACGCGTCGATTAGCGCATTGTCCGTCTTCGGTTCGCGAGAGGGCGTTGCGGCCGTCATTTTTGCGGGTCCAGGTCCGTCGGCTTCGGTCCCAGGCCGTTTTCACTAAAGGAAGGTTCACTGAAGGGAGGTTTATCCACCGCAGATGTTGAGTCGGTGGGGCCGCGTCTTGGCACGATGCCCGATGTGGTGGCCGCGTACTGGCACCGTCCCCGACGCTGGGGGGCTCAGGGCACCGACGCCGATCCTGGCTAGCCAGGCCCCTTCCCCCCGCGATGGGCCTGTTTTCCACCACCACCATGGAGTCGGCCCTGATTAGTAGGTCGACCCTGTCGAATCAAGGGTCCCCTTGTGTCCTGAGCTTCGCTCGCGACCCATGCTTCCTTGCATTCCTGTGGCAATGTGGCCCCCGGAAGGGTCTTGTGTCCTCTCGCGTGCCCTGTCCAATCGAGTCCGACTGTATGGGGAGCTGTGCAGAGTCGGTGGGGCCGCGTCTTGGCACACTGTCCGAGGTGGTGGTGGCCGCGTACTGGCACCGTCCCCGACGCCGGGGGCTCGCGGGCACCGACGCCGACCCGGGCCAGCCAGGCCCCTTCCGCCCGTGATGGGCCTGTGTTCCACCACCACCGTTAAGTCGGGCCTGTCCCTCCACAGGAGGAGCATTCAGAAATTGTAAAAAAATAGTATGGGGACGTTTTTTTGGTATTTCTTGATAGTTTGGGGATGTATTTTTTGAGTCTTTTTATTTTTTCGCCCCAAACCCCCCTAGGGGGACAGGCCCGACCTAACACCACCACCACCAGAAGGTGGAGGGGGGAAGGAGGTGGAGAGCGATGAGGAGGAAGAAGAAGAGGGGGAGGAGGGCCCCCGCCCCAGGAGGAGGAGGAGGAGGAGGAGGAGGGAGGAGAGGAGGAGGAGGAGGAAGAAGAGGAGGAAGAGAGGAGGGGGAGGAGGGCACCCTCCCCAGGAGGCAGAGGCAGAGGAGGAGGAGGAGGAGGAGAAGGAGGAAGAGGGGGAGGAGGGAGGAGGAGGAGGAGGAGGAGGAGGAGGAGGAGGAGGAGGAGGAGGAGGAGGAGGAGGAGGAGGAAGAAGAGGGGGAGGAGGTGGAGAGAGAGGAGGAAGAGGAAGACGCGTGGTGGTGGTGGTGGTGGTGGTGGTGGAACACAGGCCCATCGCCCCGGGCCCGGGGTCGGCGCGCGTGGCACCTCCTGGCCAGGCCGCGCCGGGGAGCGGGGGCGCTCCCTTCCCTGGGTCGGGGGCGGAAAAGAGGGGGGTGATGACTAGGGGGGGGTGGATATCATGGCGGGGGCCATGATATTTCCCCAGATTTCATGGCGCCTCTTCTTATTTCATTACGTCCCTGGCCCCCCCGCTGGGCCGCGCACATGCCGCCGGTCATGATTTGCACCCCCCCCTCTTGCACACCCCCCTCTTGGCCGCTCCCGAGAAAGGGGGGGTTACGAAATTTGCTGCATGCAGCTGGTTTCGGCCTCACCGAGGGGCCCGTTCCTCGATACATCGCCGCCTCCGGCGTCGGGAGGCGCTGGGAAAATCAGCCTCGTGAGCTGATTCTCAAACCCCCCCTCTGCTATCCCCCCCTTTCGCCCGACCCGAATCAAGTTGGGCATGTCCCTCTGCCGGAGGAGACTTCAAGAGCAGTAGACAGAATAGTCGGGGGGCGATTTTTGTCGACCGTGTTCGACTATTCTTGCATACTTTTTGGATATCTGTTCATATTGAGTAGTGCGTGTCCCTCTGCCGGAGGAAGACTCAAGGGTATTACAAACATAGTCGGGGGACGTTTGTTTCTCGACTATGTTCGACTGTTCTTGGATATTTTTTGAGTAATTGTTCGTTTGACGTCCCAACTGCCTCTGCGAGGACGTGCCCGACCCAGGCTGAGGAGCGGGGGCGCACCGATCGCTGGGCCCCAGGTCTGGCACGCCCGAAGTGGTGACGGAAGAAGTGGGGCCGCGACCCGCAGACCCCAGATGGCCTGAAGTGCTCGAGGTGGGCCCTCAAGACGTCTAGAGGCTCCCTGGATGGGGTCGGAGCAGATGGGACCGGAGGACCGCACCGCATCGCTGCTGCCTCGCCGATGAAGTTCGCTGTGCGCCCCGGTTTTCTCCACGTCGACACCGCCGATGCCTCGCCGACGTCGACGGTGCGCCGCCGGTGCATCCCCGCTGCATCGCCGATGCGGCGCGATCCTCCGGCCCCATCCTTGCCGACCCCATCCGGGGGGCCTCCGAGAAGGCGGTGGGGCTTCTCAGAAGGCAGGGGGGCCTTCTTGTCACCAGCCTGCAGCATATCCCTATCCCTATGATTGGCATCGCCTCATCTCGATGCCGATCTTAGGGATTCCCTCCGTTTCTGAGGGCGCATCCCTAAGATTGTCGTCGACTTTTGGCTTGTCAATCTTAGGGATAGGGATACGTTCGAGGCTGGTGATCTTAGAAGGCCCCCCGAGGCTTCCGAGAAGGCCGCGCCACCCCTGGCCGGGCGCCGCCAGCTCTCGCGAGAGGGCCCGCCCAGGGCCCGAGGTCGGGCGAGGGCTCCCGGAGCGTCTGTTTCCTGCCGCTGCCCTCCCCGACGTCCTCGGGCGTGGACGGGCCTCCTGCCCCGACGCGTCGATTAGCGAGCTGGCCGTCTGCGGTTCGCGCGAGGGCGTCGCGGCCGTCACTCTTGCGGATCCAGGTCCGTCGGCTTCGGTCCGAGGCCGTTTTCACTGAGGGGAGGTTCACCAAAGGGAGGCTGGTCCATCGCCGAATAGTCAAAAAGCAGTCTGGGGATGATCTGTTGTTTCTTGTTGTTGTTGTTGTTGTTGTTGTTGTTGTTGTTGTTGTTGTTGTTGTTGTTGTTGTTGTCGTTGTTGTTGTTGTTGTTGTTGTTGTTGTTGCTGCTGCCATTTTTTTGTTTTTTTTTTGACTACTTGTAAGTTCTCATCCAAGATCCGCCTGTAGGGGGACACGCCCGACTTCAGCCCGCGTGCGCTCTTGTCTGGAGCCTCCCCCGCTGGTGCTCGCACAGCGCCCGGCGAGCAGAAGCACACGGCATGCACACGTGCTCTCTCGGAGCTCTCCGCGCGGAGCTCGTGGATCGGCGCCACTGGGCCCCCCGCAGTGGCGGCGCCTCCCGTGCCGCCCCGGGCGCGTTCCTCGCGCCAAGGAGGAGGAGGAGGAGGAGGAGGAGGAGGAGGAGGAGGAGGAGGAGGAGGAGGAGGAGGAGGAGGAGGAGGAGGAGGAGGGGTGGGGCAGGGGGAGCCTGGTTAGTGGTGGGGCCCCGGAGCCACTAGATTGTCCAGAACCACTAAACCAGGACTGCCGCAGCTGGTGTTTCTCGGGTGACGGCAGTTCTGGTTCGTGGAGCGGGGCGGGGGGGGGGGCGGCCCCCCGTACACATCACGAAAGCAGGTCCCAACCCAGTTTTGCCAACGCCCGGAAGGAGGGGGGGGGCCCGGGCGCCGATCCAAAACATCCGCAGACCTCCGGGAATGTATGCTCGTGCTGTGTGCTTTGTTCCCCTGCAGTCGGGCTGGGGTACAAGAGCGAGGTCGGTCCGGGGAGGGTGCCCTGATGTGGAGTCGGGCCTGTCCCTCTACAGGAGGATGATTCAAAAATAGCCAAAAACTAGTTAGGGGACGATTTTTCGACTATGTTTGACAATTTTTGATCATGTTTTGACAATTTTTATTTTTTCGTCCAAAATCCGCCTGTAGGAGGACACGCCCGACCTAACCCTAATGTTCTTCGTGTTTGTTGGATGCTCTTCTGTACCCGGGGGGAGGGTACCCTCGACTGCTCGTCAGTTTGGCCGGCGGAGGGTCTCATGTTCTTGAATGATGTTCTTCTGTCCCAGGTCCGACTCTACGGGTGCTTAAACCTCTCCGCCGGTGCTTTGGCGGCGCGCCGCCAAGACGACGTTGGCGTGGTGATCGCCGGAGCGTTCGGTGTGGGGGTCGGACCAGAGAAGTCGGTGCCCTCCCCAAGGCTCGCTCGCTGCCGCTCCTGCCCGCGGCGGCCCTCTACAGGCCCTCGCCGCCTTCGTATTCGTCGTCGTCGTCGTCGTCGTCGCCGTCCTCGTGGTAGCTGTCGTCGTCGTCGCCGCCGTCGTCGTCGTCGTCGTCGCCGTCGTCGTCCTCGTCGTCGCCGTCGCCGCCTGTCCACGAACCGCCCAGAATCGGCCGTGCGTCACCGTTGTGGCGGCGAGAGCCCCTTCCGCAGGGCGAACACCGTGTGGGAAGAGGGGAGGTCTCGCCGCCGCTGCCGCCGTTGCCGTCGCCGCCGCGCCGCCCTCGTTAGCGGTCGTCGTCGTCGTCGTCTGTCGTCGTCTGTCGTCGGCGTCGTCGTCGTCGTCTGTCGTCGTCGGCGTCGTCTGTCGTCGTCGTCGTCTGTCGTCGTCTGTCGTCGTCGTCGTCGTCGTCGTCGTCGTTGTCGTCTGTCCTCGTGGTCACCGTCGTCGTCGTTGTCGTGGTCGTCGGCGTCGTCGTCCTCGTCGCCTGTCCAAGAACCGCCCAGAACCTGCCCTGGGGCCCTGCCCGGCGGTCGTGCGTCACCGTCGTGGCGGCGAGTGCCCTCCCCAGCAGGGCGAACATGTGAGAAGGGGTTTCGCCGCCGCCGCCGCCGCCGCCGCCGCCGTCGTCGCCGCCGCCGCCGCCGCCGCCGTCGTCGTCGTCGTCGTCGTCGTCGTCGTCGTCGTCGTCGTCGTCGTCGTCGTCGTCGTGGTCGCCGTCGTCGTCGTCGTCGTCGTGGTCGCCGCCGTCCTTTGCCCTTTGCAGAGGCCGTGAAGGCGTTCGGAGGCACCACAAACGCAGCAATCGGCGATGCGAGGGCTGCGGATGCGCCAAAAGGGTGCCAACAGCCGCAGGTCGCGCAGGAGCTACCCTACTCATTTGCGGGAGGCCCAACCCTTTCGATGCCAGAAAAGGTGCTCACAATTCGCAGTCGACGTCGGCGGCCTCAGGGTTGAGGCGCCGCCGCTTGCGCTCCTCGGCAGCTGCTTCAGCGGCCGCCGACCACTCTTGCAAGCTCTCCACATCCAAGCCATAGGCGGAGAGGACCCCGAACGGGGAGTCCGCCGCAGGCCCGCCGGCTGCCCCCGCAGCGGAGCCCGCCGCCGCCGTCGGCGGCGCCGCCGCCGAGGCCGCCGCGCGCCGGGGCCGCGGGCCGCCTTCCTCCTCAGGCTGGAGGCCCAGCCACTCGAGGTAGCGGAGCCCCACGGCCTCGGTGAGCGGCTCCGGGCGCAGCCTGCGCTCGCCCTGCTCGCGGCGCCGACCTCTTGGGTGAAGGCCGCGCTCCCACTGGCTCCTCTGGGCACGCATGGCCTTGTCGGCCCCCCGCCAGCCAGGGCAAGCCTCCTTCAGCTTAGGCCTGGCGCCGCTGCGCCCACCCAGCTGCATGTAGGCCCCGCAGTGCTGGCACCCGATCAGCTCCTCCTCGTCGTCGCCGTCACCCGAGCGGGCGTACCTCAGGGCGTGGCCGAAGACGATGACTGTCGCAACAGCGATGCCCTGGCCGCCCGCCGCCGATGGGAGACATTCCTGCCGCCCCCTGGGATTTATGGCGGCGCTAGCCCCCCAAGGAATACACTCCTGCCGCCTCCTTTTGGGGTCGTCGTCGCCGTCGGGGTCGGGCTCTGCCTCGGCCTCGGCGAAGCTGACAAGCGGCCTCTTGCGCTCGTCGCCCTCCGGGAGGTCCTCGGCGTCCTTGTGTTCCCAGCGCTGGTGCTCCACCGAGGCCCGCGCGATCCATCTGGCCAGCTCGTTGTAGACCGCGACGAAGCCGTGGAACTCCCTGACCACCTGGGGGTCCACGGCATGGCACTGGGCCCCGCGCTTGGCATAGGCGTCGGCCAGCCTGTTGCCGCGGAGCTGCGCTTCCGTCAGGCGCCCTTCGCGCACCTGAACCATCGAGCAGTGGGCTGGCACCTTGCGGACATCGTAGTCGCCGGGCTCGAAGGTGGCGAAAAACCTCGACCACAAGTGGGCTCCAGGCCTGCCAGCCGCGGTCGCGTAAGCCTTGCCTCTGCGCAGGCAGGCGACCGTGGAGCTGCAATCAATGTTCAGCTCCAGGGCTCCAGGGCCCGCCACCTCGCACAGCATCCAGCACGCGAAATCCTCCGCATTCTTGGACGTCTGCTGCGGGCAGAGGTCCCTGCGAACCGTGCCGAAGGCGGCCGCGATAAGGTTGCCGTCGGCGTCGGTCTGGACGATCGCCCAGCCCGCGCGCCGCAAAGCTCCGAACGCCGGCTCCAGGGCCGACCCGTCCAGGAACAGCCGGCCGGTCAGCCGCGAGTCAGCGGGGCGGTTGATCCAGTAGACCTCCATCGCGTCGCTGCGGGGCCCAAGCCTTGGGAAAGGCGCCGGGGGCCAGCCTCTGGCGAAGTCCTCGGCCGCCTCCCCTCCCAGGGCCCGCACGCGCCGCGCGCATCGCAGGAGCCTGGTGGAGACGCTGTCGCGCCGCACAGGCTCGAGCGCAGGGCACTCGAAGAGGCGGTGCCACAGCGTCCCTCTCGCCGCCCCGCAAAGGCAGCAGCGGCTGTGGTTCCGCTCGCCTGATCGGCACAGCCGCTGCTGAGGCCAGTGCGCGTTGCTCAGATACGAGACGAAGGCCGCCTTCTCCCGTGCGCCCAGCAGCCCGCCAGGGCCGATGAGCCCGCCGATGGCGTCCCAGAAGAGCGGTTGGGTGTGCCAGCCACCCTTGGCCAGCCTCTGGAGCTCGCTGCGGTCGGAGGCTCGCCGGGCCCCAAACGCGGCCTCCTGCCCGAGGTCACGCGGGCCGAGATCCAGGAGGTTGAGCACGTCGCCCTGGTCGGTCACCAGCTGGCGCTCGGACACGAAGTGCCGACCGATGCGCTTCATGGAGAGCACTGCGGCGTCGATCGGCGACCGGCACGCCACCCATGGCGAGGCAGACTGCTGGTGGCGCGAGTCGGCCGCTTCGAGGCCCGCCCGCATCATGCCCAACGGAACCTCGCCAGACTGGAGGAGCGAGGCCAACATCGAGACCGTCTGCCCCGCCAAGATGGCAGCTGGGTCCAGGCTACGGTTCCTTTGCACCTCGGCCGCACGCAGGCGGAAACCCAGAGACGCACCATTGGGCAGCCGGCCTGCGCTCCTCGCCGCCGCGACCCGCCAGCAGTGGAGCTCGCCGTCAGCAATGCCAGTCACCGTACGCCCCCACGCCATGCTGGCCGTGGGTCCCGCCTTGTGCACGGCGTCGATTTCAGCTCCAGCTGCCTTGAGGACCCGCAGCCTCCTGGCTCGCGCAAGGGCCTCGGCGGCCCTGCCGTGGCCCTCGTGGACGCCCCGGCGAGTGACATTGGCGTCGGTGCCAAGGTTGCGCGCCTGGAGCGCGCGCTCGAAGCGCCACCCGGCATCGCCCCAGCACACCTGGAGGCTCTGGCCGAGCTCCGTGCTGGAGGCCAGGAAGTGGGTCTTGGACGCGCTGATGGGGAGGTGTTGGTCCTCCAGCCGTCGTGCAACCTCGAGCCCTGCTGCGCCAAGCTGGAGGCTCACCAACCGCAGCGTTCCGACGGCCTGCAAGGCGATGTCGTCGACGACGTTGCGGGCCACCACCAGCGGCCTCCCGCAGGCAGACGCTTGCCTGAGGGGGGTGAGCACGGGCAGCTTGGCCACCGTCGTAGCGCAGGCGCAGCCCGCCAGCACGGTGCCGAGGGTGGTGAAGGTCTCCGAGGCCAGGCCCGCCATGGCGATGAACCTGGGGCTCTGGTACATCACGAGGAGGCCCTGCAGCAGCTTCAAGTTGAAGCGATGCTCGACGGCCGCTGCCCAGAGGACATCGTGCCGCAAGTTCTCATAGAACTTCACAATGTCAAGGAAGAGCGAGGCCGACGCAAAGCCCATGGCCTGCGCGTGGGCCGCGTAGGCATTGTGGAGCCAGCCAGCCTTCTCACAGCCTCTGTCGGCCTTGCCCCAGAAGAAGCCGTGGTCATTCTCAGCCTCCCATTGCGCACAGTCTGGCTGCCGCAGCCTGCTCCAGAGGCGGAACAGGAGCGGGCGGAGGGCGATCGGCCTCACTCCACCCGAGGCCTTCGGGATGAAAACCATCATCGTTGCCAGCTGGCGGAGGCTCCGCGGCTGCGCCTCGTAGCAGGTGAGCAGGTCTAGGAAGCGCACTTGCATGGCCAGCGGCAGCAGCAGGATTTGCCGCGGGTGAAGCTGGTCGGCCCCGAGGCCGCAGGTAGGGGAGTACCAGCGGCAGGCCCCCTGGAGCTGCTCCAGGGACAGAGGCGGGAGCTGCCACCCGCGCGTGTCCCACCCTTCCACTCCGGAGCCGCCGACGAAGCCCGCTTGGAGCCAGAGGCGCTTCCAGCTCTGCCCCAGCTCACCGATGGCGGCCATGCCAGCGAGCGGCCGCCCCGAGTCGGGATCGAGGACACGAGGCGGCGGGGCAGCCTTGGCGAACCGGTGGGCCAGGCGGCCTCCACGCTGGACCGCCTCCTACGCCCAGTTCCTCCAGGAGGCCGCGCTGCGAGCGCCATCACGGCGCTGCGCGCTGCTAAGGCGTTGCTGCAACACGGCAATGGCGCCGCCGTGGCCCTCGACGCCCGCGTAGTACACCAGGTCATCCCAGTCGCTGACGTCGAAGTCCAGGTCTCCCTCGTCTCGCGCCTCCTGGGTGGAAGCGTTTAGCAGCTTGACGCGGCGCTCCCTCTGCGTAACGTACCAGGAGCGGTGGGCCTCCTGCCAGGTCTCGGTGACGGCGGCCTTCACTCGCTGCAGAGCGAGATCCAGGGCCAGACGGATGTGGTGCGTCAAGGCGGAGTGCCTCAGGCGGTACTCGCGTCGCACCACGGCAGACAGCGGCTTGTAGACCAGCTGGGGCGCGTCGGCCCTCCCTGGGAATCTGGCCCGCTGACTGGCGTCGGTGGCGTGGATGCCGACCAGGGTGCCCTCGGCAGCCTGGATCCATTGGTGCACCGCTGAGCCTAGATTGCTTGGGGCCGAGCCCGGCTCCCATCCCCAAGCAACCGCCTCGGCGCGCCAGGCCGAGGGCCCCGTACGGACGTAGCGCTGCACCTCGGCGCTCTCGCTGGGGGTGCATTCCTTCAGGTCGAGGTCGGGGAAGCGCCCGGGCCGGCGCAGCACCTGGACCAGCGCGTCCGGCCGCGCGTCCTGCAGCACCAGCTCGACGGGCTGGTGGGGGTGGAGCCCGAAGCCGCTGAGAACGCGGCAGGCCCGCGTGGTGTGCGCCAAGGCGCGTGAGCACGTGAACCAGTCGTACTCGTGCTCCTGGCGCTGGGCGAAGCAGGTGGGCGCCCCAGGGCCCAGGTAGACGCCGAGCTGTCCTCTGGGCCACCCCAGCTCGTCCAGCACGGACGGCTCCATGTTGAAGTCCGCCTGGAGGAGCCACGGCATGCGGCCAGCTGTCGTGGCGAGGCCGCTGAAGGCGCTGACGATGTCGAGGTTGACGCCCTTCGGCCCGAGGGAGTGCTGGAAGTAGGCCGAGGCAGCCATTACCTCCAGCCCCGAAGCTGTCGCCACTGTAACTCCGACGAGGCGGTGCGAGACCTCCGCGGGCAGCTGCCAAGGTACCAGCTGGGCCTGGAGGTCCTGCCTCACCAGGATGGCAACGCCCCCTGAGTTGCTCAAGGGTCCGAGGCCCTCCGTGTGGGCGGCTGGTTGCAGGAAGGCTTCATAGCCGAGCCTGCGGGCCCTGGCACGGGCCGCCGAGAGCTGCTCGCTGCGCTCCAGCCGCGTCTCCTGGAGCATGACGAGGTGCGGCCAGTGCCCGAATCGCGCGCGGTAGCTCTCGAGGACTTCCATGCTCCTGTCCCAGGTGTTGCCGTTGCACCCCAGGGCCACGAGTCCACCAGGGAGAGCCGCGCTGCCGGGGGCGCCCGGCGCTGAGGGGCCACCGCCGCGCCCAGGGAGGCCGCCGATCACCGACGCCGCTGCTGGGGGCCGCGGGGCACGGTGGCCCCCAAGGGCCTCAGCTGCCGCCATGCGCTGGCCTGGCGACGCAGCGGCCCCTTCACCAGGCGGCATGACCCGCCCGTCAAAGCCCAGACCCATTGGACTCCCCGCCGCCATCCACGGGCTGGCTAGCGGCAAGAGGGAGCTCATCAGCGGCATCAGCCAGATGCCGCCGAAGATTTGCACTGACCGGCGTCCACGGGCCGGCAGCGTCGCCGCGACGCGCGGCCTGCCCGCGCTCCGCTGCCAGCGGGGGCACCCAGGGGCCTGCCGACCCTTCCTCGGCGTCAGCGTCGACACCGTCCATCGGGCAGCTGTCTGACCAGGGCTGGCGCTGGGGCCCGGCCGCCGGCCGCGGGGGCGCCTCACGCAGCTGCTGGCGGACGGCGCCCATCTGCCTCTGCACCTCGACCCAAGCAGTCTGGAAATTACCTGAGCGCCAGGCGTCCTCCAGGTGGTCGAGCTGGAAGAGGAGCCCTGGCACTGGGCTGCTCTCGACCACTGCCGCCGCCTTGCGGCGCTCCTCCTCCTCAGCTGCCGCCTGAGCTTCGGCCTCGAGCTCGCGGAGCCGAGCTTCGCTCTCGTCGCGCTCGGCTGCCAGCTGGGCCAGCTCCTCGTGCGCCTGCTGGACGCGGTCCTCGGCCTCGTGCACGGCCTGGTTCTTCTCCTCGAGCGCCTTGCGGGCCGCCGTGAGCCTGCGCTCAGCCTTGCCCACGGCGTTGGCGTCGCGGTGCATCCTTGCCGCTCTGGAGAGGCTTGCCGCCTTAGCCTGTGCCTCGGCGGCCTTGGCCTGCTCCAGCCCGGCTCGTTCGTCGTCGTCGTCGTCGTCGTAGTCGTCGTCGTCGTCGTCGTTCTCGGAAGTCTTGAAGCGGTTTCCGGAGGTGTTCGGATGCTCCCGGCTGCTCCAGGGTGCAGACGCTTCCTTTTTGCGGTGGCCGAGCTGCGCGTGCCCTCCGCTGCGAGCGTCGGCTATCGGCGGGCGCGCGCAAGGCGCCGGTGCATGTCAGGAGGGAACAAAAGCACAGACACAATGAATCGTCCACTCCCAGGAAGATCTGGGACAATATGGGAAGTGGGGGGGAAGAGAACAAAAACTCAGAACATGTAGGAAGATGTGGGGGATCCTTTGATCTGTGTGTATTTGTTTGTGTGTCCCAGGGCCCCAGGGCCGTGGGCGGAAGGCAGCTCCGTGTCCGCGGCCTCGCGGGCGGGGGGCCCTGCCTGCGGCCAGCTGCCCCGCGGCAGCGGGGGCGTCTCGGCGCGGAGGCTCCGCGCGTGGAGCGCGTCCGGGCGCCCGCGCGCCCGCGCCTATGTATGTATGTATGTATGTATGTATGTATGTATGTATGTATGTATGTATGTATGTATGTATGTATGTATGTATGTATGTATGTATGTATGATGTATTTATGTATGTATGCATATATCAATGTATGTATGCCTGTATATATAGTTGTATTGATGCATATACGCACACACGTACATACGTGTGAACGTGTGTATGTAGGTGTGCATGCATGCATGAATGCATGTATGTATGCATGCCTGTATGTACGTATGCCGGTGCGCGTCTGCATGTATGTACGTATGAATGTATGTATGCATGCATGTATGAATAATTGTTCCTATGAGCGTATGCCTGCATGCACGTACGTATATATGCACGTACACATGCAAGCATGCATGCATGCATGCATTTCTATAGATATGTATGTACGTATGTATGGATGGATGTATGTTTGTATATGTATGTACGAATGCTTGTACATGTGTAGTCTGCTCGCATGCAAGCATGTATGTAGGCATTTATGGATGTATGTATGCATGTCTATAGATATGTAGATATGCACGCATGCATGCATGCACGTACGCATGCATGTATGCATGTATGCATGCATGCATGGATTCATGTATGTATGTGTGCGTGCATGTATGTATGTATGTATGTATGTATGTATGTATGTATGTATGTATGTATGTATGTGTGAATGTATGGAAAATCTGTATGTATGTATGCATGTATGTATGTACGTATGTATGTATTTATGTAGTTTCATGTACATATGTTTGTTGTATATATATATATATATATGTCTGCATGTGAGTATGTTTGCGGAACATATCCATGTACTTGTACTTGTACATCTGTATGGTGCATGCATGTGTGCATGCATGTAGGTATGTGTGCATGAAGGTATGCATGCATGCCTGCATGCATGTATGCGTGTGGGTATGTATGCATGTATGTCTGTCTATATGTATGAATGCATGTATGTATGTATGTCTGCCTGCCTGTCTGCCTTTCGGTTTGTCCTCTCGCCTGCCTGCCTGTCTGTATGTATGTATCGATGTATGTATGCATGCATGCATGTATGTCTGCATGCATGCATGTACGTACTTATGTATGTGTATCTGCATGTGCGTATTTGCGTAGGCACGCATGTACGTATGTACGTATGCACGTAGGTACGTCTGTACGTATCTACGTATGTACGATGTACGTATGTGCAGATGTATATATGATCAGTGGAACCGCGTGAAAAGTCTCTCCCCCTTCCCTCCAGAGCCACGTGTCAGGGGCAACGTTAGGGGGGGGGCATAGGCCCTTTTCCCTGTGGGGATGCATCGAACCCCCAATTGCCCATTGATCGCCGATAGGGGCCCGAGCGTGCGGATTCGCCATCGGGAGCCAATCGCCGATCTATCGGAGATGTATCGTCGATTCCAGCTCGATGTTTTCCCCCTGAGCCGATCCCCAGGTGGTCTTCGGGTTGTACATCGGGCCTCTGGCGGCCGTTCGGGACGATCCGACCTCCTCTCGGAACGCTCTCGGCGAGGCGCAGCTGCTGGAAGCCACCACGATGCTGGAAGGCCGCCCAAATCGAACGGAAGCGTTAGAGAACCTCAAATTTCGAATCTTGAGACTCGTTCCCCCCTCTGACGTTGCCCCTCAGTGCTTGCCCTCGAGCTGCTCTCCCCCTCTCTTGGGACATTGGTCCCCCCCTGACGTTCGCCCCGGTGCTTGACTTCAAGCTGCTCTCCCCCCTCTCTTGAGACTTCGGTCCCCCCTGACGTTCCCCCTGGTGCTCGACTTCGAGTTGCGCTCCCCCTTCTCTCGAGGCGTCGGCCCCCCCCCCCCCCTGGACGTTTCCCCCCCCCGGTGCTCGCCCTCGCTCTGCCCCCCCCCCTCTGCCCCGCTCCCCCCCTCGTCACTCCGCACCCCAGCCTCGGCAGACGAGGACTGCAAGCACCGAGGGCCGCGGCCCCCCCCCGCGCAGGCCCTCGGTGCTTGTAGTCCTCCTCCTCCTCCTCCTTATCCTCATCCTCCTCCTCCTCCTCCTCTTCGTCCTCGTCCTCAGCATCCACCCCCTTCTCTCCATCCAGAGCAGCCTGGGGCAGGAGAAGGAGGGGCACGACCGAGGGAGGGGGGCGATCGCACAGTGCCAACGCCGGCGGCAGCGCGCGCCCCGCGCTCGCCTCCCCAGACATGTGACGTCCTGATTTTCTCAGGACGGCGTCCTTGGAAGTCCCAACCCCTTCCCCGGGGCTGGTTTTTCATCCTGAGTCGTTTTTTGACGGTCCCGAGGCCCGGCGAGGGCCCCCCAGGGCCGAAAATGGCCAAAACCAGCCCGTCTTGATTTTTTTACGACGCCATCATGTCTGGGTCCCCTCCGCCCCTCCCCCTCCGCACCCGCTGCCGCTCGCCCGCGGCCGAGAGGCACCGGCAGGCGCAGTGCTTCGGGGGCGCCCCGGGTGCCCCGCGCGCCCGCCGCCGCCGCCGCCGCCGCCGCCGGGGCGCGCGCGCGGAGGCGGCCGTCGAGCGGCGGCGTGCGGCGGAGGCCGTCGTCGAGCGTCGCCGTCGAGCGGAGGCCGTCGTCGGGCGTCGTCGAGCGACGGGGGCCGTCGTCGAGCGTCGTCGAGCGGAGGCCGTCGTCGAGCGTCGTCGAGCGGAGGCCGTCATCGAGCGTCGTCGTCCCCAGACGGGCGACTGGCGGCGGAGTCTATGGGAAAGGGGCGGGGGTGGACAGAACCCCCAACAGTGACACGTCGATTAGTGAATTGTCCGTTTTCGGCTCTCGAGGTGGCACCGTGGCCGCTATTTTCCAGGCTTGCGCCCGCCAGGTCTGGGCCTCAGGTCGTTTTCACTAAACAACGTTTTACTAAAAGGGGGTCTGTCCATCCCCGACGGGGGCCCGTCGCCAGTCCGCGCGCCGGAATTCGCGTTTGCGTCTCCTCGGCCCTGCCTTTCCCCCTTTTGCCCCGCCCCCCTGCCCCCTGGGCGGCGGGGAGGGGGGCCCGGAGGCGCGCGGGCGGACGCGCGGTGGGCCCCGCCCCGTCGTCGCACGTCGCGCGCGCGGAGGTCAGCGTATCTCGACTGAGAATTTTCTCGGCGCGGAGGTCCCCAGATGTGCATGTCGTATTCCTCTCACGTCTCGCTGAGGAACTCCATCTGTGAGCATCTGGGTGTGAGAGCGAGTCCGCGTAGACGACAAGCGCGGCAACGGCGACGACGACAGAGACGACTGCAGTGACGTCTCCCTCTTGTGGACATCTTTCAGGCGAAATGCGGGAAACACAAGTGGAAGAGCGAGGGGGAGCTCCTCTTGCCGTTTTTATTGCGGCAAGTCGGGCAAGAGCCGCTCTTTGGCGTGCTGCTTCCGGCGCCTTGTGGCACTTGAGGTGCCCAAGTGTCCCACGTGCTATATCGCGGTAGCCGCGGGTGTGTGAGCCTGAGTGGGCTTGCGTGTGGGTGAGTCGGAGTGTGAGTGAGTCTGACCTCCTGTGGGTAAACTCACACACACATTCTCGAATCGTGACCAAACATGCGGTGGAAGGCTTTTGTTCTTTTCGCCTCGGGGGGCCCTCGCTGGGCCCCCGGATTGTCAAACATCGGCCCAGGAGGAAAAAGGCTTGCCCCGGGGAGGGGGTCAGAACTTCGGTGACCCCGTATTGAAAGCATCAGGGCGTTGCGTGTTAGGGCTAGCTGTTTTGGATCTGCCGCGCGCAAGCCCACAGCAGATGGGGCCTCTAGGTGTTGCCTGTTGAGAGTTTTCGTGGGACGGTAAAATCAGAGGTGCCACGACACGACATGATAGGACGCGACATGGTCGCCGAGTGAGGGGGGTGACGTTGTCACGATTTGATACCAGTCTCGCAGGAGGAGTAGGGCGGCACAAAACGACGTGACAGGAGGAATGCCACAAAGCTGTGGACCGTGGATTCGGTCGCCACGGCACCTCGTAACTGAGCCCTTACATGCCAACGCGAGTGTGTTTATCCTTTCCCTCTTGCCCGATGCTTGTGGCCATTTGGGTCCAGTTGCTCGGCCGGTTTTAAACATAGGTTGGGCGCAGATGCTTGCCGTTGAGCAGCGCGCCCTCGACGCCGCTCGGCGGCGGATCAGCAAGGTGCTTCATGATCACGACGTCCTCGGCCCGCGCCTGGCTCTGCAAGCGGAAGGGCCGAGTTCGAGGCAACGCTCGCGCAGGTGGCGGAGGCCGCGGACCTCAGTGTAGAGGAGGCGCGGCGGCCGCCGAATGAGCTTGTGCATCAACTGGTGGCCGATGAGCCGGTGCAGAAACGACTGAGGGCGTCCCACGGCCGCCCCGAGCAGGCCATGCTGGAGGATGCCGCGGCGTTCTTCAGGATGGCTGCCAGCCGAAGAGCGACCGAGGCCCCAGCGCCGTCGGGGGCCCGTGCGATGGCGGGGACCAGTTTCGCTCGGAAGTGCCGCGCGGGGCGGAGGCCCCGCTTGGTAGCGCTGCTCGGGGAGATGGGAGCGGCTTCAAT